GGTAGATCCTCCCAAAGAAAGAGAGATGGTTCGCCTCTTTATTCAAAATCTGACTCATAAATATAGGGAACATCTCAAATTTCTTCCACTGAACACTTTCGAAGCTGTATACGACATCGGCATCAATATCGAGGATGAGCTAATAAAGACTGCTGGTAGTAACAATAATAACACTTGGAAAAACAAGAAGAACGACCATCCTTCTTCTTCGTCTTCTAAGCACGAAAATACTACCAACAATATAAGCCGAGTTGATATCAATGAAATGTTAGCTCTTGATGCTCCATTGCCCAAGAAGAAAAGAACTTACACTAATTTAGGAATGACTTATGATGCGGCCTTTGATCGCCTTTACGGTCAAGGCTTGATCACGCCTATTGGACCATTTCCAGAGCCAAAACCTGAAGAAAAGAGCGCCAAATGGAATCCCAATGCATATTGCAAGTACCATCAAGGAAGGGGCCACACTACAGAGCAATGTTGGAATTTGAAGGACGTCATTCAAGACTTGATGGATGCAAACAAACTTCATGTCTCTCCAGGCGATAAGAAGTAATGAATACAAGGCACGCAGATCCTTCGTGCAAGATTTCATGATTTCTTTCTTTATCATTCCCCCATTCATGACTAGCATAGGTTTTCCACTTTGAATTTTTTTTATATGTTTCATGTGTTCCGTTCACCTTTACCATTAATAAAATGAGCAATTTTCCTTTACGTCTCGATCATAGAATTTTTCATTCATTCATTCATTCTCAAAAAATAAAAAAAATAAAAAAAAATCAATTACCGAACTAAACCCAAGGTACACCAATGACTTGAGGCACCTTTGCAACCATGTCATTCCCTGGTTATTGTTAACCGTTCAATCACATTCCATTTCTTCATCAACCATTTTGAGCCTCGTCTAACGTTTGGCCTTCATTTCTTCAACCCACATTCACTTAACCCTGGGATTGGAAGATGTGTAATTGTATAACATTCAAAAAGCAAGTAAAAATAAAAAAAGAGAAAGCAGCAAAGTAACAATAAAACAATGTCTAAAGGCAAGTGTTCCAATGTCTGTGATATGAACACGTCTCAAATTGCATCTCTCATCGAGTGCTTGGTACCGTGCCTGAGAAACATGAATGCTAAGTGAGTGATGGACCGCATGATCTGAGATTGTCTACATTGATTCAAAAGAAAAAAAAAAGAAATTCAAAATAAATAAAAAAGAAGAAAAAAAGTTGAAAATAAACTTACAAAATTCAAAATTTTCAAATTCAAAATTAAACATCTTGGGGATTCTCTCGGGTCTTGATCCTTTTATCCCTTTCTTCCTTAAACCATCAACTTAACCACATTACAACCCTTGAAAGACCTCTTTGAGGTGTACATACACTTGTGCAAAGTTCGGTTAGAGCTACGTTCGGCTTGATTCCTAACGGATACGTAGGCAACCTCACATTGAGGTGCGGCCACATTCACATTCATATCTATACATGATCGAGTCAAAGAATATCCAATACTTATCTCTACCCATTTAGAGCTAGACTTGGGGCTTGAACCCAAATCACATTAGCTTACCCAGCCTGAAGAGTCATCATCTTTAACTCTTCTCACATCTCTTTCCATCGCCATAACCCTTGCAGCCAGCCTTAGTATCACATTCACACACTTCACTCACACATCCATATCCATATCAATCATCCTTCCCTTTAAGATCCCTTTATCATGAAATCTTGTTTCAACACTGTGCATGTTTCATCACATTTAAAGAAACATTGTATACTTGCTTAGCTTCCTCACCTGAGCAATGTTCATTGTTTCGCATAATGTGCTAAGAAACATTTATATATCAATGATTTTTAATCATACAAAGCATATTGTGCTTAGCTCCTTGACTTAAGCAACGTTCATTATGCAATAATCACTATACGTGCTTAGCTTCCAGACCTAAGTGACGTTCAAAATCGCTTCTTTACACCATATATGATGCTTAGCTCCATGACTTAAGTTCATTCATCTATCGTGTCACATGATGTAATTGTCCTTAGCCTCCTGGCCTAAGAGCTTGCATCATGCATACATTATTTTCAGGACAAGCAATTCAATCCATACGATTCATTTCGTCTTGCTGAAGTAGGAAGTTCAAAACTTCTTTCCTTTTTCATTATTTTATTTTGGGGAAGTTCAAAAACTTTTTCAAGGTTTTCATCGAAGGAAGTTCAAAAATAAAAGTTCAGTTTTCACATCTTTCTTTTTCGGGAGAAAGTCGGTACCCTCCACTCATGACAAAAATTGACGGAATTTTTTTGCTTTTGCATCTTCGTTTGCTTGTGTCTGCACACACACACACACACTCACAAGTCATACACATGTCATGTCAAGTCAAACTTGGTCAAGTCTTTTGCTTTTGCATTTTTAATTGCTTGTGTCAGTACACACACTCACTCAAGACACACACAATCACAAGTCATACACATGTCATGTCATGTCAAGTCAAACTTGGTCAAGTCAGTTGGTCAAGTCAATCATAGTCTATACGAGTCCCCTAGCAAATTTTATTTTGCAGGTCTTATCTACAGCCCACGTCCGGGGACAAGCGGACCATTTACAACCCACGTTCGGGGACAAGCGAACCAACTACAGCCCACGTCCGGGGACGAGCGGACCATCTACAGCCCACGTCCGGGGACAAGCGGACCACCATCATTTCATGACGCAAGGTTCTCGATACACATAGACTTGCAATCTCATCATCTTTCGACTTTCCTCAAGCATGGAAAGTATTATCCGGTGGATTTTTCTTCAAGTATAGAAAACCGCCAAATCGGCTTTCCTCAAGCATGGAAGGCATTATCGGTGGAACTCTTCAAGCATAGAATGACCCCATATTCATCAGTCGGCTTTCCTCAGGCATGGAAAGCGTTATCAGTGGATTTTTCTTCAAGTATAGAAAACCGCCAAGTCGGCTTTCCTCAAGCTTGGAAAGCATTATCGGTGGATTTTTCTTCAAGTATAGAAAACCGCCAAGTCGGCTTTCCTCAAGCATGGAAAGCATCATCGGTGGATTTCTTCAAGCATGAATGACACCAAATTCAAACGACGATTTTCCTCAAGCATGGAAAGTATTATCCGGTAGGTTTCTTCAGTCTTAGAAAACTACCAAACTCCTCAGTCGGCTTTCCTCAGGAATGGAAAGCGTTTCAACAGACGTCATCCGGTGGATCCCTTCAAGCATAGGAAGTTGCCAAGCTCATTTGCCACCAATACACTGGTGTTAGATAAGCATTCTATCCCTTTACTCTTTTATCTGTAGAACTAACACTTTTCTGCAGGTATCGGCGTATACAGAATGATTTAGGATCGCAGAACGTCTTTAATCATTCTCCGTCCCTATCGGTTACTTTGACTATCGTTTTCGAAACTGACGTTTCTACAAACTCAGTCAAAGTGGGGGCTTCTGTAGACACCTAAAAATGTCTCCCCAAAACCAAACCCGTTGATGAACACCTTTCACCGCCATTATTGGTCGAGTTGGGTATTTAATCTTTGGAGTGCTTAAATCCATGTTCTATCCAATATATTTCATGAACCAATCCAATTTCTAACTCATTTCCCTAAACCATAACCTATTTTCCACTTTTCATGTCCACATCGCAAAACTGAGAGAAACTGATTTTATGGCTATAAAATTTTGATCCAATTATTATTTTGTTGGATAGGCCTTTAAATAAGATTTCCAACCATATATCATAAGCCCAATTCCGAGCTATAACGAAAAAGATATGAGCAAAACATTAAACTCGGCCCAAAACCGACACCTTTCTACTAAAACGGTCATATCTTAAAATCTATAAATTATTTTTACCTGATTCCAATTGGGTTGGAAATTAGACTTGATAAGATTTCCAATGATATATTATATGCTTTATTCCGAGTTACGGATCAAAAGTTATGATGATTTTAAAAATGAGTAAAAAACAAGAATTACCGCGCAGCAGCTAAAATGCCGCGACGCGGCAAGATCTGACGTGGCACGTGAGAAATTCCTGTGACACGGTAATTTGGAGGGGATTTTCATGTTTTTTAGTGCCCCGTGACTTGGCATAAGTACCGTGGCCCTGCGCCATATGCCGTGACACGGTGGACTTTGCCGCGTCACAGCGTTTTCTGCCGTGTCACGGTGGGTTGCTGACGTGTCACGGTGCTTAAAACTTCCCCGCGTCACGGGGAACTGTGCCGCGACACGGGAATTACTGCCGTGTCACGGTAGGAATTCCCTTGTCACGGTGTCAGCGGTGCCGTGAAACGGGACAACTCCGTGTCTTTTCCGCGTAATCCCTTCACGCGTTTTTACTCCCGTAGGTCAAATATTTCCTGCGTCACTATTTTTCCCCGCGTCACGCTAATTTCCCCCGTGACACGGTAGAATCTGCCGTGTCGCGGTAGCCTTTTTTAGGGTTTTTATCTTTTTAGGGTTCCGTGTGTTCCCTCTGCTCATTTTCCCTATAAATACCCCCCCTTTCTGCAATTTGGGGCACCAATAATCATTCTCTCTGACCTTACACCAAAAATCATTCTCTTCTCCCTCTTTAACCTAATTTCTAGCCTCATTATTCTTCCATAATAATTCCCCTAAGCACTCCAAGGAGTTCATACAATACCCAAAGTTCTATACTTAAACCAAGGCGTAAAAGCAATTTAAAGGAACGCGCAGAATGGATCACTTTTCACTATAAGAATTGAGTAGAGGCCAATACGGGAGAATGTGACTTCATGACTCACTTCGTACCATCATCCCCGATCCTCCTTTCGTGGTTCCGAACCATATGGAGTTAGTAATCTCATGGATTATGAATGGGGTGTAACCTTCACGGGTCAATCGTTGTTGCCTATCGTTGTCCCTTATTCGTGGTTGCCTTTTATGATCCGTGAACGGTTTAAAAGTTCCTTAAAAATTTGTTGGCGGCTCCCTACTTTCCCTGTCCCTAATCATATTATGTCAATTCCCACTTCCTATGAGTGTCAAGCATATTCACACATGCTTTTTACGTAGGCGCACTTCGAACGACGCCTACAATTATAGTAGCTTGTCCCTAAATAAAAACATCACTAATATAATTATGACCAAAAACCAAAATAGATAGATGATGGCGTTATAGACGATGTAGTCGCTTGTTTTGATGCTCAAGTGTTTCGGCCTATTTTCTTGTTGCACCTACATTGCCTTTTCCAATATTCAAAAAAAAATTACAAAGTATAAATTAGTACATTACACAATATAAGCTTATTCACACCACACAAGCTTATAATGCCATCTTCCATTACTAGCAACCACCACATACAAAGATAAATCAGCAATTGAATGAGGAGCACAACCAAATACTAGGGTACCACCAACGGGCTGTTCATGAGTATCCACTACAATGCCCACATTATCAACTAGTAGAGCACCTTCTTATCTTTTGACAACAATTTGAGACAAGGAATAGCGGTCGTGTTAGGAAGAACAACATGAATTGTAAATACGAGAATTATTATATGGGTTTTTGTATCTAGTTGATCTGCAATCAAATACCAGAATTGCCAAATACTAGTGTACCACCAACTCAGCAATTGATCTGCATGGATCTGCAATTGTTACAGCCTGTGAAAATATCAAATCAACATGCCCTGTAATACAAGACATAAAACTATAAGCATTATCAATCCCAAAAATCAAATAATCATCAAGCCAAGCCATACTCTTCACACCATCAATACACGACATTTCCTTCAAAACCACGAACAACCCATGTTTCCCATCGACCTCTCGATCATGCTTACAACTGCCTGAATTCAGCTCAATGAACACCACTTTCTTCCCCATTTCCACCACAAAAAGGTAGGCACCATCATTATCCACTCCCCTAGAACTGATTCCTTAACCCTCGCCCCATTCGATCTAACCCTGCCACCTAACTTTTTCATCAGCCTACCACCTACACTACTACCACTACTACTAACTCCCTGTTCATTAATCCAATTAGAATTTCAAGATTTAGTACTACAAACCCTTCTAGCAACAATATTAACTCCCTTCAGTATCCCTAACTTTTTCACAGGTTGTAACAATTGCAGATCAACTAGATACAAAAAGCCATCAGATAGAACCAAAATTCTACCAATTTGATTAACAACATGAATTGAATTAATACCAAAATGACTGATACTAACATATCAGATATAATTTGTGTGCATTCAGATGCATTTGAAGCACAATAATCCTATAAGATTATTAACTTAAAATATCCATTTCATTCACCAATTGTAAATAAGCTTTAAGCAAACAAGAACTCAATAGTGAACTTGATTGCATGAAAGACCAAACACATATTGAAATCAGATAGTCTACTAAGCAACAACTTAAGTATAAATGTATCAAATATGATTTTCAGATCTGAAATTTAGTTAAAGGCACTGCACTCGTCTTAAGCTATGGCAACAAGATGGAGCCAATATTAATTTAATTATAAACCCCCTAAATAATTCATAAGCGTTAAGCCTTTTGGTCCAAGATAATATACAACCATCAATATGAGCCATGCAATTATAAGACTTTTGGTCCACAATAATGTTTTCAACCATAGAGCAAAGCAAGCAAATGTCTATAAAATTACACAGCTCTAACTAGCTTCTAATGAATGAGTAGAACCATCAATATGAGCCATGCAATTATAAGATTTTTGGTCTACAATAACATTTACAACCAAAGAGAAAAATTAGCAAATGTCTATATATAAAAGGACACAGCTCAAACCAGCTTCTAATGAATGTGGAGGAAATTATAATGCGGAAAACAAAAATTACCAATGAATAAAGATATCATGTCTCTTAAGCAAGTTTGAGATTGCTCATGGTTCATAAAGATATCATGTCTCATTATGACTTTAGCAAAGCCACAAGATTTCAGAAAACCAAGTCAATCTAGTTCTAGGTCAGTCTATTTTTCATCAGACTAATAAAGCAATTACTCAATTCAATACGTACCATGCAAAGATATAATTCATCAAATATAAATAGGGACTCTATCATCTAAACACAAAAAATGTTATAAAGAGAAATGCGACTTTGTTACCTGGTGGTTTGCCATTTCTAAGAATTCAAGTGTTTCTTTAGAAGAATTGGAGATCTATTCCCTTGACGAACTGCACCTACAATCTCAGAAAAATATCCAACAAGTGCTTTAAGAAGAAAATTATTGTGTCCAGCTAGTTATCACCTCTCATAGTATTCTACATAAAATGTGACATAGAGTTGCTACATTATTAAAATATTAACTAGCTAAAACAAAAGTCCAATAAACGAAAGTTTAATAATGCAAGCTAAGCTAAGATACAGAGGCTATACAATGTAACTTTTAGGGGAAAAAAATGTATAAACAATATCTTCCATCTATCCTTTAACAATATTGTTACTCAAAATTTTCACAAAAATAACAAACTCAAATTTCAAGGAAAATAAAGAGTAATACAGAGCTATATACCTTCAATTCTATAACGACACCTAACGTGCAGCCCCTTAGTATCATCACCTATGAGAGAAAATGTACATCAATATAGCACAATGAAAAATCTAAAACATTACATCAACTATCATAACAAAGTAACTGCATACTACTCAAAAGTTGCCTCAATGTGGCCCACACATAAATCACACAGCATCAATTTAAGAATTGAGATAATAAAAGAAGAAAAAGGGAGAGAAAGAGACATAGAGCTAGCTAAGAGCAGAGCTAATGCGTCTCTTTGCAAATATATTTAATAATTCTTAATCCACTTACTGGTCGTAGAGAAGACCATCTTACATTAATCAAGAAAGAACATTTGAATCCCTTATCTTATTATACTCTGTAATGTAATAGAAGGCTCACACTATATGTTGTAATATTGGGTTGGCTTGTAAGAAACAGTAAGCTCAAGTTTTTCAACATAAAAGACTTCCACATTAATAGGTTCAGTAAACTAGCCTAAACTTATGTTGTTATTCTTCCTTGAGTTCCTGCTCATCACATCTACATAGTATTCTAGCAAGACAATACTTTGAACATAATCCGCTAACTCGGCTTAAATAACTTCTAAGAAATATTTTTTATTTGTTTCAAAGTCATCCCCTAACCTCTCAGGATTCAAAAACATACTAAAAACCCTTTATTATTGTCAATTTGGTTTCAAATTATTATCGGAAAAAATTAATGCAAACTTATATAAATTTGTAGACTTTTAGAATTTAGAAAGAGAAAAAAATTTAAATTATATTTTTACCTTAAAACTTTTAAAAAAAAGAACTTCAAAATATTTTAACACAATAAAAAAAAAAAAAAAAAAAAAAAAAAAAAAAAAAACAGTGTGTTCTTAAGTAATAGCAGGTGAGTAGCCAACTCAAAATGGTGCTTCGCTCAAACATAGAATAAAATAAGGCTAATTTTTCCAGAATTTTATCTGAACAGTAGCACAAAATCGAACTCAATAATATGTATAAACAAACAATTGCTAATGAATCAAACCCATTTCAGACCAAATTTTCGTGAAATTATTGTAAAATAAACTCTATAAATAAGCTATAGGACTCGAATCGAAGAAAAACTGAAGCCCAAAAGGAAAGAATGTACCTCAATTTTTTCGGCAAAGAGAGCACGAAATCAAACACCATTGAAGGCCGGCCGGAAGAGAAAATTAGGCAAGAAAAATTATTGATGAGTAGTGCAAAGGGAACGAATTGAAGATCTGACATTGAAATCCATGATTTTCTGAATCACTTTGTAGAATTTCGTAAGACAAAGGAGAGATGAATAGTTAGGGTTAAGAAGTGAGAGCTTAGAGAAGTGAAAAGAGTTTTCAGGTTTAGTACTGTGGGCAATTTTATTATTTCCGAAATTTTGAAACCGTACGTGGGTAGAGCCAATTCAAGTTACGAGCCCTGCACGTGTTGTTCTCGACGCTTATTGAAAGGAATGGTGTCCTCAAACAAGTTTATTATTCTGATAGCGGGTTTAGAATTATTAGAAAGCTAATATATTCAGTAAGGTCAAGTGATCGGAATGTCTGGGTGGAGGCCGCTTCTGATCAGTAATATTAATGTATAATTAATATTACATCTAAATCTTGACTGAACCCTTCAGGTCACACCCTAGCAAATATACGAACCGACTCGACGAATTAATGTTAAATATTTAGATATCGGAAATTTGAGCTTGGAGCGTCGAAACCGAGTGTCGGAGAATCTCAAATGTCGAGCCAAAATTTGAGATTTAGCGAGACGGGAAAATGCTTCAAGTAACAAGTAAAATCCTAGCCACACAAAAGGCTAGAAAAGCACGCCCAATAGGTACGTTCCACGTGGCAGCACACATGGCAAAGCGCCATGTGGCAACCGCCAAGTGGCAGCGTGCCACGTAGGCAGCATGCCACGTGGGCAGCATGCCACGTAGGCAACATGCCACGTGGGCAGCGCGCCACGGTGGCGACACATGTGTCAAGGGCCGTGGACCCGGGGCAATGGGTCATGGATACAGGCCAAAATAAAATAGCCCAACCAAACCCAACTTGGGGCTCAAGGTTGGGTGACACATGGTTAGTTCACATTGCATGTGAATGGCCTTGGGAACCAAGTAGGAAAGTGGTTGTAGGGAATATTTCAAGCATTACCCCTAACTTGAAACCCACTGTGATCATACACTAAAGTACAGTGGCGTCCAAAGGGAAAGAAGATAGAGCAAAAGAGTCGCCAACAAGTTTTAGGAACTTGTAAACCGTTCACGAGGTGAAGATTACACCCCTTAACGATCCAGAAGATCGTCAAGTCCAATAGGTCTTGAACCATGACTGGTAGTTCGGGGATGAAGGTACAAATCCAACCTAAAAGAGATTGAACATGCCCTAATAATAGGCCTCTACTTTATTCTCATCGTATTCATGTGCGCTTTCTGACTAACATGCAATCAATAGGATTAACCCTAAACCTGTTTATCTATGTTGGTTGAATATTAATGCACAAACAAATCTATTATTAGCGATCACTTGAATTATAATCAAATTAACCCTAACAAGATTATTAATTATTTTATTAAGCGTGATTACAAGTACAAATTCCCTTTAAACATGCATAAAAGGTGTGATCAAGCAATAAATAATATCTAATATTAAACAACATAATAATCATAATAATAATAATTATGAAGTTTTAATCATAATCAAAACAATTATAAAAATAATCATGAATCATGTTAAAGCATAATAATAGCAAGATCCTAGGCATGATACTAACAAGATTAATAACAAACCCTAGCATGTTACTAAGCAATAAAAATCAAAACTTTAGCCCTCACATGATACTAACATGAATAAATATTAGAAAGAACATAAAAGGCATCATAACAATCATATTCAGTATTAAAGTTACCCTAGACATGATACTAGGAATTTATTGTTGTCACCCTAAACATCAAATTAAGGAAAACATCCTAACATGATACTAGGAATCAAAATAACAATTCAAGCATGATTTCTATATCACAATATCAATTAAACCATTAAAGTACTTACTTGGATTCCTCGTATCTCTTTCTAATAACAAAATACCCACGTTAGTAATTTCAAGGAAATTAATGATATCAAACAATTAAATTAAATAATTGAAATAAAGATTTGGGACCAAACCCTCAGAAATTAAAACCTTTCACGTCTAGGGCGAAGGCAGCTTCGAATATGGCTAGGTGTTTCTAAATCTAATGAATGCGGAATTTTTATATTTGAGAGAAGGCTAGTTTAGAAAAGAGATAGAGAGAGAAAAAGAAATCAAGAAAATCTTGATTAGAGTTGGTGAGAATTGGTGAATGAAACAAATTTTTTAGCACGTTATTTATAGAAAAAATCAACCAAAAAGATAAAACATCAAAAAACAGAGTTCTGACGCGAAAAGCCAAATTAGCGCCAAACGCTGACCTTAGCGCCAGGCGCCAAGCGTAACGTCAGGCGCTACAGCTGGCATTTGGCGCTGACTCGGAAATTCACGCGTTTTCTTAAAATCAGATAGAAATTGTCGTACAGGAGGATAAAATCGTATTTTCCGCAAAAACGTTCTTTGATCTTAATTAAAACTCTAAAAAGTCAACAAAAGTCAATTTATCAATGCTAATTGAATTAGGAATGAAAAGAACCTTCTAGAAGAATCTAGAAGACTAAAACCATTCCTAATTGCATTAGGAATTATAAATCCATTTTTGGCCCTCGTCTAGATCATTGGGCCGCATATAAGGCTCAAACCGGGTCCAGTTCATTAAATTGGCCTTAACTTCCTCAATATTCATCGGAATTGGGCTTATAATATACCGTTGGAAAGCTCTTTTCAAGCCCTATCCAACTACACTATTATTGGACCCATATCATGGACCAACAAAACTGGATTTGCTGTTTTCTTAAAATAGATTTTCAAAAACAGAGAGAAGAGAAAAGAAATTAAAACTATCCGCAACACTAAACTTTCCACACTTTCACTTCATTCGATTATGACTCGACGTGAAAGGTACTCATCACTGGGTTTGATTTTGGGGAGACACAAATGGGTGTCTACAGAAGCCCCCACTTTGACTGAGTTTGGGGAAACACAAGTTTCGAAAACAAAAGACAAAGTATCGATAGGGACGGAGAATGATTCAGAACGTTCTGCGATCCTAAATCACTCTTGTAACGCCGATACCTGCAAACTGGCGTTAGTTAAACAGATAAATGAGTTAAGAAACGCGTATCTTGCGTCGTCGAGCACACGTCTCTGAAAGTAACCAATTTGCTTCTTTTTGTTGTTTTGATGACCTCCTGCAAGCTAGAGAATGCCATCCCGCTTGAAAACCGCTACGCTTGTAAGTGCTTCCAATATGGAAGATTGCTTTGCTTGAAAACGATCCTCTTCCGCTTTGAGACCATCTTCCACGTCTAAGGGAACATGATCGAAGATAACTTTGATTGAAATCACCTTCAGTTGTTTGTGACAACTCTCCACAATATAGTGAACGCCATCTTGATGTTTCGATGTTCACTTGTCTCTGAACAAAGAGCTTCTTTTGGATATGTTCACGCGTCTTTGAACAAAGAGCTTTTTGAATGATATGTCCACGCGTCTCTGGAGCAAAAGAGCTTGATGATATGTCCACGCGTCTCTGAAAAAAAGAGCTTTAATGATATGTCCACGCGTCTCTGAACAAAAGAGCTTTGATGATATGTCCACGCGTCTCTGAACAAAAGAGCTTTGATGATATGTCCATGCGTCTCTGAACAAAAGAGCTTGAATGTTTATCGCGATAATATTCCGAAGAATAATTTCCGAACACCAACGCTTGTCGATCTCTAAAGCTCGCTTGAACTTTGCTTCCGCTATGCCAGTAAGTCGGCGGTTTGCTGCTTGTGAACCATTATGTCCGTGATGAGCCAATGCTTAGGCGCTTTAAGCTAAGTGAGACGATCTTTCTTCAGGTCGATCACTTATTGCGACTGTAATCAAACCGACTACTTAATCATGTCAAATTGCTTATAGGGGCTAACTAGCGTACCAAGGAACCCGAAATTGTTGTATGAGGTCGAAATCACCTTTATGAGAGGCTTCGAGCTCTGTCGCTGCTGAAACATCTCTGGCGCCAAGAATTGGCTCTGTCGTCAGATGCTAGGATCTAGCGCCAGGCGCTGAAACCTGCTGCCAGACGCTAGATGTTGTCATCTGGCGCTGGAGTAGGGTCTTCCCTATTCTGCTCTTGCTGCCGCTGTTGCTCGGTTTCGCTTCGAACTTTGAGCTTGGTCGTTTCCTTTCAACCAAATCCGCTCAAGTCTTTTGTAAATTAAATCTCTTCATCTCTAATTTACCTATCCATGTAATTCCTCTTATCTCGGAGGAATCTCTTGTGTCATATTCGCGGTTTTTTTTTTCAAAAAAAAAAAATTCCGGGAATGTCCCCGCTTGCTAGGATGTACCTGCATTTACATCTTTGAATATAGAACTTTGCCTATCTCTTTAATTATCTTAGGGTTGACCTAAGGCTTAGTTTCGCTTGACTCATTGACACGACACGACTCAAGGCATAAACTTGACTCGCTGTGATTGACTCGAGGTTGACTCGACTCGAAGCGAAATGACACGTGTGACTCATGACCCGTGTGTGCATAGTGTTGATTCAATGTGACTCAAAAATGCAAAAAATAAAAAAATTTCCGTCATTTTTGTGGAGGGTACCGACTTTCTCCCGAAAAAGAAAGACGCGAAAAAGAATCGAAGTTTTGAAGGTGCATGTTGAATGTGATTAGTCAAATGTTGTTTCTCACAGTACAAGGATTGTAACATCTTAAACTATCCTAGTTGACTTAATAATGAAAGTATTTAGGTAACTTAGGCACAGAGGCTAAGTACTTCATACTTCGATGCAATGATGATTATGATTGATGAGTGATGTTGATATGACAAGGCATGCTTCAAATTTTTGTTAAGATTCCATGATAAAAGGTTCCTAAGGGAAGTATATTTGGTCATGTATGTGTGATGTGTGTGATAGTGACACTAAAGTTAGGCCGCAAGGGCTAAGTGTGTGGGAAAATATATTGAAAAGAGTCAAATGGTGGTGACTCTTAGGCTAGGTAAGCTAATGATGTAGGGATCAAGCCCCCAATTCTAGCTCTAAGTAAAAAGGGATGAGCATAGGAGTGTGAATGTGAATATGAATGCATGTTTATTACGGTCGCACCTCGATGTGAGGTTGCTTACGTATCCGTTAGGAATTAGGCCGAACGTAGCTCTAGGCGAACCTCACACAAGTGTGTGTATACCTCAAAAAGGTCTTTTTAAGGGTTGTAACGTGGTTAGGCTAAAGGTTATATAAG